AACTCAGGGCTGCTCGATCTTACTCGTGATCTGGGTTTGAGTACGGGCCTGTAGCTCAATAATTCGTGGTATTCCCACTGAATGAGCTCTTAGGTACCCGGCCGGCCCAAAGCCCGGTGTCGACCGGTAGAAGGGGTCTGCCGGCACGCCATCCAAACCCTATACCTCGCGCCGCGTCTGTCACCCGCGGGAGGGTTGGTCGGGGCTCCTGTAAACTGCAACAAACTCGTCAGTCACATCCACATTAATAAAGACTGGGACCGACTACAAACACAACCACGAGTCTCTCGTATTGCACCGTCTGGAAGAATAAAAAGGATTGTTTTCATTTGGTCATGAATAATACCCGTGGAAGGGCTAGTTCCGACCCCTGCCTTAGATCTGAAATCCATCCGGCTGTTTGGAAAAGACGACGCCTTGGGTCACTCGAGTGCGCGTCGAGCCATGTCCTCAATCTGATCTGGTCTAATCTGGTCTGATCTGGTTTAGTCTAATCAGATCTGTTTTGGTCTGGTCTCGAGATGGTCTGATCAGATCTGGAATGGTTTCATCTCATTAGGTCTAACTTGAGGTCTGCCGGGTCTGGTCTGATTCGGTCTGGGCACGGTCTCGTCTTATCTGTTCAGAGTCTGCCCGGTCTGATCTGATCCGGTCAAGATATGGTCTCGTCTTATCTGTTCTGAGTCTGCCCGGTCTGATCTGATCCGGTCTGGGTATGGTCTCATCTGATCTATTCTGAGTCTGCCCGGTATGATCTGATCCAGGCTGGGTACGGTCTCATCTGATCTCTTCAGAGTCTTCCCGGTCTGATCTGATCCGGTCTGGGCAGGGTCTCGTCTTATCTGTTCCGAGTCTGCCCGGTCTGCTCTGATCCGGTTTGGGTACGGTCTCATCTGATCTGTTTTGAGTCTGGTCTGGGTCTGATCTCATCTGGCCTGGCCTGAGTCTGGTCTCATCCGGTCTCATCTGGACCCGGCCCAGTCTGCTATGATATCAGTCTGGTCTGATTTGAAACGATCCATACTGGTCGAAATCTGAACTGGGTTGATCTAATGTGAACTGGCCCGACCCTGTCTAATCTGATCCCCCCTGGCCCGGATTGAACAGGCCGGGTCCGGATCTGGTCTGTGGCTTGGCCTGAGTCTGACTGATCTAGTCCTATCTGATCCGATCAAATGCGGTCTGTTCTTGGCCCAGACCGGTCGGCTCTGGCCTGGGACCCGTGACGAGATGCGCGCAGTCACGCGCAGCCAGGTCCTTACGCGCCCCACCCACGAGCCCGGTTGGCCAGATCATCTGATCAGGCACGCGTCTTACAGCTGGTAAGCGCGTTTCCGTTTCCTCCAAGCCCGCCTCCTTTGGCTGTGGTCCGCAAGATGGCAGGTAGGGACAGTGGGAATCCCGGTAATCCGTTCGTGGGCGTCACTAATTAGATGACGTGGCCAAATCTCTTCACTTTGGCATTCAGAGAAGCAAGCGGGAATTACATTGCGTCAACATCCGCTAGTGCAATGCTTTGCTCTAATTAAACAGTCGGATTCCACTCGTCTGTACCGATAAGAAGTAGTGGTAGTTCATTTGCACCGTATAGCCCCCCACTTGTTCTGCACTTCTCAAGTCATTTCACAGAGTCGAACTAGAGTCAATCAACAGGTCCTTCCCCCGCCGGCTCTACCAAGCTTGTCCCTTTGGCTGTAGTTTCACGTGATGGTCGATAGAGACTGTGCGGGTCTCGTCGATCCTCTCTCTCTGTCGACGCGTGAGACCGCCACTCAAGCGTAATGGCTTTTCCAACATAGCAGGCCTTCCCGCGCGGACTCTCTCACTACTCCTTCTCTCTCTCTCTCTCTCTCTCTCTCTCTCTCTCTCTCTCTCTCTCTCTCTCTCTCTCTCTCTCTCTCTCTCTCTCTCTCTCTCTCT